AGTAGGACAGAGAGTTGGTGTGGAAGTGTCAACCCAGCATTTTTGTCCTTTGTTCACTTGCTTTCCCCATCTCTGTGGGATAAAACAATTTATATTAATTTTGTAGGAGGGCCAGCATTGTAGGGTAGTAGGTTAAGCCACTAGCTGCGATGCCACCATCCCACATGAGCACTAGTTAGAACCCCATCTGCTCACTTCTAATCTAGCTCCTTGCTAACATGCCAGGAAAAGCGGTGGAAGATGGCCCAAGTGCCTGGACTCCTGCCACCCCTGTGGGAGACCTGAATGGAGTTTGAGGCTCCTGGTTTTGGCCTGACCAGTGCAATCACATGGGGAGTGAACCAGCAGATGGAATTTCATCCTCTCCCTCTCCCTCTCCCTCACTTTCCCCCCTTTCTGTAACTCCGCCTTTCAAATAAATAAAATAAATCTTTTTGGAAAAATTTATAATCTGTTGGACTCAGTTGATCAGAGAATGCCCTAATGAGGCTAAGTTATAGAATTAACACCTTGTTGCCAGCATTGTGGCACCATGGGTTAAGCTGCCTCCTGTGACACCAATATCCCATATAGGTGCAGTGTGTGTCCTGGCTGTTCCACTTCTGATCTATCTCCCTGCTAACGGGCCTGGGAAATCAGCAGAATATGGTCCAAGTTCCTGAGCCTCTGCCATCCACGTGGAGACCCAGATGCACTTCCAGGCTCCTGGCTTCACCTTGGCCGAGCCCCAGCCTAGCAGTCATTTGGATTTGAGGAGTGAACTAATGGATAGAATCTTCTCTCTCTCTCCCCCCCCCCTCTGCTTCCTTCCCTCCCTCCATCACTTACTTCTCTCTCTGTATCTCTGCCTTTCAAATAAATAAATAATGCTTTAAAAAGAAAGGAAGGAAGGAAGGAAGGAAGGAAGGAAGGAAGGAAGGAAGGAAGGAAGGAAGGAAGGAAGGAAGGAAGGGAGGGAGGGAAAGACAGACAACTATAGTGGTAATGGGGAAAATGGGTTATAGTGGAGAGAGGTGAGTATTTGTGAACTTTTAAAATAGGGACCACTTGCAAGAGTCCAGGTAAAAGATGACCAAGTCCTCACTAGAAAAGTGGCACCCTAGAATTAAAGGCAAACCACTAATTGTCAAATGCTATCACTTAACAATGTTAAATCACCTCAGTTCTTGTAATTGGGTAAATTGGCAGCAAGAACTGACATCTGACATCATCAGATGGAAGTTCAAAATTCAAGAAGAGTAAAAAGTGACAAGAATGTACTTGGGTTTCTGAGTTAGCAAACAGGCCTTTTAGAAGCTCAGGGAGCTGATGCTGTGAGACAGCGAGTAAAGCCGCATCCTGCAGTGCCGGCATTCTCACTTGGGTGCCCATTCGAAACCCGGCTGCTCCACTTCTGATCCAGCTCTCTGCTGTGGCCTGGGAAAGCAGTAGAAAACGGCCCAAGTCCTTGGGCCCCTGCACCCACATGGGAGACCCAGAAAAAGCTCCTGGCTCCTGGCTTTGGATTGGTGCAGCTCTAGCCATTGCAACCATCTGGGGAATGAACCAGCAGATGGAAGACCTCTCTCTCTCTCTCTCTCTCTCTCTCTCTCTCTCTCTCTCTGCTTTTCCTCTCTGTGTAACTCTGACTTTCAAATAAATAAATAAATAAAATCTTTTCTAAAAAAAATCCTGTAGGAGTGACTTTGGTTTAATGGAAAGGATTCCTTTGAGCTTCAGAAAAAACCTAGAAACTTGTCAAGAAAGTTATTTCAGCAGAAACACCTCAGGACACCTTGGACTCAGAGGAACACAGAATGCAAAAGAAAATGAGGCTGATGTACCTCCGAGTTGTACAGTTGCAAAGTAGGCTAATAAAGCTCAGCTGTATACATGTGCCACCCTCCATGGAAAAAAAGTGGGGGGCTGCTGCCATGCTCAGTGGGTTAAGCTGCTTCAATTCCGGCATCCCATATGAGCCTGGTTCAAGTCCCGGCTGCTCCAGCTTTCTACTAACATGCCTGGAGAAGCAGCAGAAGATGGTCCAAGTGTTGGGACCCCTGCACCCACATGGGAGGCCCAGGTAGAGTTTCAAACTCCTGGCTTTGGCCTCATCCAGCCCCTGTTGTTGTGGCCATTTGAGGAGTGAACTAGCAGATGGAAGCTCGCTCTCTCTGTCTCTAATTCTTTCAAATAAGTAAATAAAAAATGTTTTATAAAGGGATAACTCAAAGAGCAGAAGCAAGTTGCATGAGGATGGAGCCAAGAGCCATGGGAAATTATTCCCTAGGCTTTTAATCTAATGAAGGAGCCCTGGCTGGTTTGTGGATTTCAGGACAGCTTTGGACCAGTGACTGCTTGCTGTCTTCTATTGTCCCTCTTTCTGAACTACAGTGTCTTTGGCTGTTATTCTGTGTCTACTCCATCATAGTATGTTTGGTGTATTGAAGGCAGATGGTTTCACAGGTCACAGTGGAAGGAGAATTGTGCCCCAGACACTGCTCCTAAAGGATTACTCAGGAACCCCACCCTGATTTAGACACTGACACTTTGGACTTGGAGATGATACGCTAAGGGGATGAGATTCCTGGGAGCCTTGAAAGGGGAGGAATGGATTTTAAATGTGGAAGAGGGGCTCGGCACTGTGGCGTAGCAGGTTAAGCTGCCACCTGCAGTGCCGGCATCCCATATGGGTGCCAGTTCGTGTCCTAGCTGTTCCACTTCCAATCCAGCTTTCTGCTATGGCCTGGGAAAGCTCTCTACTATGGGCCCTGGACCCATATGGGAGACCTAGAAGAAGCTCCTGGCTCCTGGCTTCGGATCAGTGCAGCTCCAGCTGTTGTGGCCAACTGGGGAGTGAACCAGTGGATGAAAGATCTCTCTTCTCTCTCTCTCTCTCCCTCTCTCTCTCTCTTTCAAATAAATAGATCTTCAAAACAAAAAATAGAGGACCATGTAGCTGTTACTCCATACACAGTAATGCCAAGCCGAAGACCACCAAAATCTACTTCCATCTCATCTGTTCCTTTTTCCCTAAAAGAAAATTAATTCAAAGATCTTTATGTTTTTAACTGATTCTTTGCTCAGCTTTTTTTTTTTTTTTTTCTTGTCTGGGACAGGCAGAGTTAGACAGTGAGAGAGAGAGACAGAGAGAAAGGTCTTCCTTCCGTTGGTTCACCCCCCAATGGCCGCTGTGGCCAGTGCACTGTGCCCATCCGAAGCCAGGAGTCAGGTGCTTCTCCTGGTCTCCCATGGGGTGCAGGGCCCAAGCACTTGGGCCATCCTCCACTGCATTCCCAGGCCACAGCAGAGAGCTGGACTGGAAGAGGAGCAATCGGGACTAGAACCCGGGGTGCCAGTGCCGCAGGCAGAGGATTAGCCTAGTGAGCCACAGCGCCAGCCCAGCTATTTCTTTAATCATTTGTTTCATCCCTGGGTTTTCAAATAAAGTCCATAAATTCTTTACCTACCTGTTCTGTAAACATTCAGGCCCAGCCCTAGGGCATACTTGCACTTATAACAATATGAAAAGGAGAAAAACTGATCTTGTCAAAAGGGGAATAACTAGGGAACACAAAATCCCCAAATGCCTTATAAAGAATATCGCTATATTAAATACACAGTAAAATTAATTATAGGAAAGGGAACCCCCCCTCCCTTTTTTTGGTCTATTCCAAAAATCTCACAGTTCTTCTTTCATGTGAGATAACAGAGAGAGAAACTTCTGATTGATCACAGTTTTCTTCCTCTTGTGCATTTATAATCTGACCCATCTTGTTTTTTTTTTTTTTCAAGATTTATTTATTTGAAAGAGGGGCCAGTGCTATGGCATAGCAGGCTAAGTTTCTACCTGTGGTGCCGGCATCCCATATGGGCACCAGTTCATGTCCCATCTGTTCCTCTTCTGCTCCAGCTCTCTGCTATGGCCTGGGATAGCAGTAGAAAATGGCCCAAGTCCTTGGGCCCCTGCACCCACATGGGAGATCTGCAGGAAGCTCCTGGATCCTGGCTTTGGATTGGCCCAGTTCCAGCCACTGTGGCCATCTGGGGAGTGAACCAGAGGATGGAAGATCTGTGTGTGTTTCTGTGTGTGTGTGTGTGTGTGTGTGTGTGGCTGTAGCTCTGCCTCTCATATAAATTAATTAAATTGAATTGAATTAAATTAAATTAAAAAAGAAAGAATTACAGAGACACATAATTTTCCTTCCACTGGTTCACTCCCCAGATGGCCATGTAAGCCACAGCTGGACCAGGCTGAAGACAGGAGCTTCATCCGAGTTTCTCATGTGGGTGCAGAGTCCCACGCATGTGGGTCATTTTCCACTGCTTTCCATAAGTATTGCTTATTATTCTTACATGTAAGAATGTATATAATTTGCACTCATGTAACATTTATTGTGAACATAATATTTAGGTAATATTTAACAATTAAAACAAATCCATAAAAACAGGGCATAAACACCAATAGCAATTCCATGTATCTGAAAGACACTTATTGTTATCATAGATATCTCAAGATAGCATTTATGCTCCTAACTACTTTGAAATAATGGTATTTATTTGAATTAATGGATTGGTGATTTCTCTGTCTCTCCCTCTCTCTGTAACTCTGCCTTTCAAATAAGTAAATAAATCTTTTTAAAATATATATATAGTGATAGTGGCCGGCGCCGCGGCTCAATAGGCTAATCCTCCGCCTGCGGCACCGGCACACCGGGTTCTAATCCTGGTTGGGGCGCCAGATTCTGTCCTGGTTGCCCCTCTTCCAGGCCAGCTCTCTGCTATGGCCCGGGAGTGCAGTGGAGGATGGCCCAAGTGTTTGGGCCCTGCACCCCATGGGAGACCAGGAGAAGCACCTGGCTCCTGGCTTCGGATCAGCTCGATGCGCCGGCCGCAGCGGCCATTGGAGGGTGAACCAATGGCAAAAGGAAGACCTTTCTCTCTGTCTCTCTCTCACTGTCCAGTCTGCCTGTCAAAAAATAAATAAAATAAAAATAAAATATATATAGTGATAGTCTCTTTTAATGTCTGATATGGGTATATGTCTGGTCCCCAGTCACTGAGAGTTTATTGGTTTCTTTTTTGATCTTCCAACACAACCAGTCTTTAAATTTGTCAAGTTGGTCAGTAGTTTTCCTGCTTTCCACTGATACACTTTTTTCTTTTCTAATACAAGCACTTCAAAACCATAAAAACAATCCCTTCTAGCACTGCTCTCACTGCATTACAGACTTCTGTAATTGTGGGTTTTCATTACTGGTCAGTTTATAATATAATCTCTGGGGCTGGCATTTAGCCCAGCAGTTAAGATGCCGTTAGGAGGCCCAGTTTCATACTGGCATACCCAGGTTTGATGCCCAGCTCTGGCTTCTGACTCCAGCTTCCTGCTAACAAACCTGTGAGGCAGCAGTGTTAGTTCAAGTAAATAGGTCCCTATCACCCATGGGGGAGACCTGGAGTGAGATCCTGGCTTCAACTTAGGTCCAACTCCAGACATTCTGGGCATTTGGGGAGCAAAAGTAGTAGATGGGAGTGTTGGTTCATTTTCTCGCTCTCTCCCTCTCTCTCCTCCTTCTCTCCTCCTCCTCCTCCACTTCCCCCTTTCCCTCTCAAGAAAAAAAAATTAAACATTAAAAAATACATAGTATCTACATTCACTAATGAGTTATTTCACCTATGTCTTTTTAGAAGTGTGTTATATTCTAAATTTTAGGGGATTTGCTTAATATCATATTTTCATATTTTTCTTAAACCTATCTCCATTTCAGTTAAGCATGTTAAACTTTTTCCTTATTGTCCCATAGATATTAAGATTCTGTTCATTTGAAAAAAAATTTTTTGGCACTGGCACCATGGCGTAATAGGTTAAGCCTCTGCCTGCAGTGCTGGAATCCCACATAGGCTCTGGTTCCAGTCCTGGCTGCTGCACTTCCGATCCAACTGCCTGCTAATGGCCTGGGAAAGCAGTGGAGGATGGCCCAAGTACATGGGGGCCCTGCACCCATGTGAAAGACCCAGAAGAAGCTCCTAGCTCCTGGCTTCAGATTGGCCCATCTCCAGCCATTGTGGCCATTTGGGTAGTGAACCAGTGAATGGAAGATTGTCTCCCCCCCCCCCTCTCTCTATAACTGCCTCTCAAATAAATAAATCTTTAAAAAAATTTTTCTTTCTGTTCTTTAGACTGAATAATCTCCATCTATCTACATTTTTATGGGAATACAAATAATGTCTTCCTCAATTGCACAAAACTTTCTTGTATTTTGTTTTGACACAGTTCCTATATTATTTGGTATATGCAGGTGCTTCTATTCTTATATGTGATTGTAAACTGCACCTCTAAATGACCTACTTTTGGTTTCAATGATCTATCATCTTCAAAGCTCAGTTAAACTCTTAGCAATTTTTTTTAATTTTAGACATTTCATATTTCATAGCTTCCAACAGGTTCTTTTTCCTAGTTTGTATTTCTTGACTCAGATTTCCTATTAGCTCACTTACAGTCTCTTTTCCTTTATGTTCTTGAACAGTGACAGGAACTGCTTTAAAATCCTAACCTGGTAATTTCAACATCTGGGTCACCTAAGGGTGAAGCTTCGTTACCCATCCTGTTGAATAAGGGTCACATTTTCCTGTTGTGTCATGTGTCCAGGTAATTCGGAATTGTGTCTTTGGAGGTACATACTGTAAGCATGTACTGTATCACTTGAGTAATACATTGTAAAGACTCTGGATTCTTTTCTATTCCTCCTAAAGAAATTGTGAATTCTTTTGTTTTTTGTTTTGTTTTGTTTTGTTTTGTTTTTTAGCATGCAGCTCATTTGGCTTAACTCAAACGAAACTCTTTAATCCTTGTAGAGTGATACAGCTGAAATCCTAGTCAATTGTTTTAGATTTAGCTACTGGGGCTGACACTGTGGCATAGTGGTAAAAGCCATGGTCTGCAGTGCTGACATCCCACATGGGTGCTGGTTCGAATTCTGGCTGCTCCACTTCCGATCCGACTCTCTGCTATGGCCTGGGAAAGCAGTAGAAGATGGCCCACATCCTTGGACCCCTGCACCTGTGTGGGAGACCCGGAAGAAGCTCCTGGCTCCTGGCTTCGGATCGGCCTAGCTCCAGCTGTTGCAGCCATTTGGAGAGTGAACCAGCAGATGCAAGACATCTCTTTCTGTCTGCCTCTGCCTCTCTGTAACTCTGCCTTTCAAATAAATAAATCCCGAGACAGACAGACAGAGAGAGAGAGAAAGAGAGATTTAGCTACTTACCTGCCTCTGCAACTGTGGGCCAACCAGAGAGAACAGCAGGTTTCGTGTTTAGAGTTTGGTTACCCCTCTGTTGATTTTCTCCTTTCCTGTATTTTAGCCCTATATTGGTTTTTTAGGGTATTTACAGCACAGCATCAAAACCTAGGTGGGTCACATCAAGAAATTTACTCCCTCATGATACCAGAGGCCAGAAGGCCAACATCAGGGAATTAGCAAGGGAGGCTCTGAGGGAGAATGCTCTCTGGGCCTCTCTGTGCTTGGCGTTCCGGGCTTGTCGCTGCTACTTTGATCTGTGCTTCTGTGTTCACATGGCCACTTGTGTCCTCTGTGTGTCTCTCCACTCTTCTGAGGACCAGTCATTGCATCAGGGCCCGTCCTCGTCTAACTTTATCACATTGGCAAAGATCTTATTTCCAAATGAGGTCCCACTCAGGTTCTAGGGAGACTGGGATTTTTGGTGGATGCTAAGCACACAATACATCCCCCGCTATCCAGCTGCTGTGGCAGCGTCCAACTCTGTCCTCGGAGTCCTCTAGCCAAGAAGCCTCAACATTTCTACCCAAGTTTGAGTTGTTCCTTGTGTCTGAGTGGGCTGCCCCTCAGGCGAAAACCACAAATGCCAGAACTCATAAAGGCTGTTTCCTTCTTCCAAGAATCGAGTCCCATGCAGATTTTGTCTGCTTTTATGTTCTCCACCATGAATCTGGTAGCTGGCCTTTTAAATCGTTCTTTTCCCTAATTTATAGTTACCCTTAGGGAGGGTATTAAGAACTTTTTTTTTTCACAGAGTGAAATCACTTGTTTTTGTAACCAACTGAGTATGGGGTAAGTGATAAGAATTAATACTTTCCTGCATGTTAAATAAGAGATTCAAATTATATTAGATTCTAAAACCATTATTTTACCTCTCATATGTTGTTTTTCTACATTAGCCAAATGTTTGCTAACCAACAGTATGCATGCTGTCTGCTGAATAAGATATTAATAATAGTAACATACTTACAACTTAATGTTTCCATTACTCTTCTAAATGATTTATATTTATTATCTCAGTAAATCTTTACATAATCACTACAACTTGGGCAGTTTTATAGATGAGGAATTCCATTTTACAAATGAATAAAAACCAAGGCTCAGGGAGCTTAAATAATTTATTCAAGTCACACAGAAATGATATTGAAATGAAACTGCCCATGCATATAGTTACTGTGTTGTACTGCCTCATAAAAACACAAGCCTTGGGGCTGGCACTGTGGCATAGCGGGTAAAGCCACCACCTGCAGTGCCAGCATCCCATATGGGCGCTGCTTCGAAACCCGGCTGTTCCACTTCCAATCCAGCTCTCTGCTGTGGCCTGGGAAAGCACTGGAAGATGGCCCAAGTCCTTGGACCCCTGCACCCGCATGGGAGACCTGGAAGAAGCTCCTGGCTCTGGAAAGGCTTAGTTTGCCTGTTGCAGCCTTTTGGGGAGTGAAGCAGCAACCTCTCTCTCTCTGCCTCTGCCTCTTAGTATCTCTGTCTCTCCAATAAATAAATAAATTTTTAAAAAATAAAAAACCACAAGCCTTTGCCTCAGTACTATCCTGGTTCATCATCAGCCACAGAAAGATTATTTTTAAGGATGCTCTTGCTAATTTTATAACTTATGAAAAGTAAATATAAGTATTAAATATCAGTATAATAGCTTAATTTCAGAATCAAAGTTTATTTCATAATTTGTAACTTTTAATTATGCATGATTGACATATTAGAAATTCTTTGCACATTAAATCAACCTCCAGGGCTGGCCTTGTGGCGTGGTGGGTAAAGCCCATAAGGGCACTGGTTTGTGTTCTGGCTGCTCTACTTCTGATCCAGCTCCCTGCTAATGGCCTGGGAAGGCAACTGAAGACGGTCTGAGTGCTTGGGCCTGTGGAGACTTAAAGGAAGCTGCTGGCTTCAGCATTACCTATCCCTGGACATTGTGGCCTTCTGGGTAGTGAACCAGCGGGTGGAAGACCTCTCTCTCTCTCTGTCTCTCCCTCTCTTTAACTCTGACTTTCAAATAAATAAAATAAATCTTTTTTTTTTTTTTTAAAAAGAGCAACCTCCAGAAGCCTCAGAATTACAGATCCTCCTTTTAAATTTCTTACCTGCAAGGCAAGAAGTATACCCAGTCTATTTACTCCACTAGTTATATTACATTTCCTGTGATAAGTTTCCTTTTACCATCAAGACAATCTCTCCTCTCTCTCTCCCCCTCCCTCTCTGCCTCCCTCCACTCCCTCCCTGCCTTAGCCGTTTGCTCTTATCATAAACATGACATGCTGTAAGACATGAGTAAGTGTGTACTTAAGCAAAATACTTATTTCCTTACCCTGACTCACCAGGGCACCCTAGAGATTAATACTGTTACTTATTTCACAGGTCTCTTGTGCATGTGAATTTCCACGAGATTCTATCCAACTGGGGTAGCTAAGAAAGAACAATGTCCTCTATACAAGGTGGGTTTCCCATTGTCCCACACGTAGCCTGCTGATGGCCGTGGGATGGCAAAGTCATCTTCATTAGACGGAATTTAATCGTGAATCAAAGTTCCTGTGGAGAATAGGCTGATCTAAACTTTAGCCTCCCTTGGGTCCTGCTGAAAGATTAGAGGGAAAGAGTAGGGCCTTGGTAAGTTGAATGTACCAGATTGATTTTCACTAATAGTTCTCTTGTAAAACTCTGAAAACCACCCAGTTTAACCCTTTAAAAAAGAGAGAGAGAGAGGGAGGGAGAAAGGGGTAGAATAGGAGAAAGGGAAAAAACACAAAAACACAATACAACTCAGATAGTATAGCCCGGGCTTGATCCATTGATTCATGAGATGTGCTTTATTCTTGGAGCAAGTTCTATGGCTCTGAGTATGTACACATGACCAAAACGTGTCCACCCAAAGTTAAAGTTTTCCAGCTGCATATAATAATCCACACCAACCGTCACAAGACTGAAACTGCAGCAAAGAATTGCTACTAGGTAATTGCTACTTACTTTTGCTTTTAGTTTGTTTTCTGATCGGAGAGTCTAAAATTCAGTCTAAGGATGCAGTTGTATGAAATGATCTTTTCCAAAATGTTGGGAATCTGGGAAGAGTTAATGGTGGAAGTCAAAGGAGGAGCCACCTCCACCAGCACCCGTACGGCAGGCTCAGACACGGTTAACAAGAAAAAAGGAAGGAGAGACAAACGTGTTAGGTGATCTTTAGTCTAAAGAACTCTCCGTCGGGCAACTGGGCATTTTTCTCCTTGCCTTTTATTTCCAACTTCCTTTGAAAGAATTCGTTAAGTGAAAAGAGAGATGGTGGCAGCTCACTATATCAAAGCTCAGTTCTCAGCTGGCTTACTCTAGGGTCTCTACTCTTTTGTGGATGCTTTATGATGTGTTGTACGGTAACACTGCAAAGTCAATCTTGTACCAGTGATTGCCGCATACACATTAAGGAGTCTGAAAAAAAATCACAAACTAGAAATTGTTAGCTCTCTTGGGTATACAGTGGCACTGATAAGAATTAATGTACCAAAAAGGATGTGGACAGGCTTCCTTTTCCTTTGGGGGGAGTGAAGGAGATAAGGGTTTGATTTATTTTTTGGTAGAGTAAAAAGGAAGTACAAAGGAAAGACAAGGCGTAATGGGGATTTTTTTTTCCATGATCAGACCTTTAGTCTTGCCTGGGAACACAGTGTCCAAGTCAAAGAACAGAAACACAAACACAAAGCTTAGCACTACAAAGAAATCTGTATGTATCAATTTTTTAATTTTAAAATAATTATTTATTTATTTGAAAGGCAGAGAGAGAGAGAGAGAGAGAGAGAGAGAGAGGGAGAGAGAGCGCAAACGAGCTACCACCTGCTGATTCAGTTCTCAAATGCCCGCAATGGCTGGGGCGGCAGAGGCAGAGGAGCCAGGAACTCAACCTAGGTCTCCTATGTGGCTGGAAGGAACCCAGTGACTGAGCCATGACCACTGGCTCCCAGAGTCCTCAGCAGCAGGGTATTTTTTAAAATTCATAGAATAATTAATAAGTAAATCTCATTTTAAAGTCAACATAAGCCTTTTTTTTAGGGGTTAAAAAAAAAAGTCATCCTTTTGCTAAATCCCTGAGACAAAGACTTTAGAAACTCTTGGAAGACAGGGTCTAAGTCAGGGTCAGACACCCTCCCCTGGGATCCTGAAGAGAACAGAATGAAGGTGCTGTTTTCAGAGGTGTGGGCAAGAGGGAAGGAGCCAGCAGTCAGCAGCCGCAGGATCACATTCCACCCCTTGGACTGCTGGGAAAGTGGAAGAAGCTGTGTTTTCAGACCTACAGACAGCTCTGCCTTCAGAGAGGGCGCGAACACAGGGCTAGAGCCAGAAGGAATGGGGAAGAAGCACCCTGATCTCTTTCTCTCCCTGTCTGCTCGCTTGCTTCCTGCCATGCGTCCCTGCAGCCTGCCTGAAGCCAGAGGACAAATGAACTCAGTGATGTTGTCTTCAAGAATCAGCACTTGGCCGGCGCCACAGCTCACTAGGCTAATCCTCTGCCTTGCGGCGCCGGCACACTGGGTTCTAGTCCCAGTCGGGGCGCCAGATTCTGTCCTGGTTGCCCCTCTTCCAGGCCAGCTGTCTGCTATGGCCCAGGAGTGCAGTGGAGGATGGCCCAAGTGCTTGGGCCCTGCACCCCATGGGAGACCAGGAGAAGCATCTGGCTCCTGCCTTCGGATCAGCGCGGTGCACCGGCTGTGGCGGCCATTGGAGGGTGAACCAACAGCAAAGGAAGACCTTTCTCTCTGTCTCTCTCTCTCACTGTCCACTCTGCCTGTCAAAAAAAAAAAAAAAATCAGCACAGCCTTTTGCTGCAAGCCTGAGTGGTTGCCATAGAAACGGGCAAGTTCCAAAACTTGGAAAAGTCCTCACCAATGCTATTTGGGACACAAAGCTGTCATCACCAAGGACATGGATGATGGCACCTCTGATCTCCCCTACAGCCATGCTCTGGTGGTGGGAATTGACTGCTGTCCCTGAAAAGTGACAGCTGCCTTGGGCAAGAGAAAAAAAGAGCTTAAAGATCAAGTCTTTTGTGAAAGTTTGTAACTACAAACACTTCATGTCCATGGTCACAGGCACTCTGTGGATATTCCCTTGGACAAAACCATGGTCAACAAGGGTATCTTCAGAGACTTTGCTCTTAAATGCAAGGCCAGACCAGAGGCCAAGGTCAAGTTTGAAGAGAGGTACAAGACCAGCAAGAACAAGTGGTTCTTCCAAAAGCTGCAGTTTTTGATATATTTTTGATCCAGTTATTAAAAACTTAAAAAAAAAAAAAAAAAAACAAAATCAGTACTGCCCTTCCAAGGGCCCAGGACACAGATCAGAGCAAAGTAGGTACTGGTTCCTAAGTCACAACTACAGACTGGGCTACAGAGAGAGCAATCCCTTTCCATCTGCAGGAGGAGAAAGAAGCAAGCCTGGATCAGACATCAATACCCAAGGAGTCGATTTCCTGTGATGACTCACTATGAGGGACCACAGGGTTAATACAATTCTCCATCATGAAAACTTTAGAAATGGAATGCAGTGGTCAGTGTTGTGGCACAGCAGGTTAAGCTGCTGCCTGCGGCTCCACTGGCATCCCCTATGGGCACTGGTTGGAGTCCCAGCTGCTCCACTTTCAATCCATCTCCCAGCTAATGGCCTGGGAAAGCAGTGGAAGATGGTTCAATTGCTTGGGCCCCTGTCCCCCACTTTGGAAACCCAAATGGAGTTCCAGGCTCCCAGGCTTCAGCCTGGCCCAGCCCTAGCCATTGGAGTCACTTGGGAAGTAAATCAGTAGATGGAACAGCTTCCTCTCCCCTGCTCTCTCTTTTCTCCTACTCTGTTGTTCTCCCACTCTTCTCTCTCTTCCTCTCAAATAAATAAACTAAATAAATCTTTTTTAAAAAAACAGAAAGGGAATGCCAGAAATAGAAGATATGTGAAGAGATCTTTTTCTAGGTGGAATTGGCAACTGCTGCAGTCTTTGAATTTTTTTTTTTATTCTTGTTTTAGTTTATTTATTTTTATTTATTTGAAAGGCAGAGCTGGGCCCGGCCAAAGCCAGGAGCCCAGAACTCAATCCAGGTCTCCCACATGGGTATCAGGGAGCCAACTAGTTGAGCCATCACATGCTGCCTGCCAGGGTGCACATTAGCAGGAAGCTGGAACTTAAAGCAGAGCCGGGACTCAAACCTAGGCTCCTGGATATGGGGTGGGGTCATCCCCAGTAGGGCCCTAACCACTGCACTGAAGGCTCATCTCAGCTTTTCTTTATGGACAATCCTATCCACAATAATGACAGGTCTAATCTGTTTTACTGTAGTTAACTTCATCGATTCTTAATTTTATCTTGATACATCTACATAAGATAGTGCCTTTATTTTGTTCTATCTGTATGAAGTAGTATAGTGTATTTTCTTCAAAATCACTTTTCTCTTCCTTGGATTGTTCCAACACTGGGTAGTATTCTATCTCCTCTTAACGGGGAAGAACACATTGCAATGAAATTAACATTTACATGAAATGCTTCTTCAGAGAGCAGGATATGCATCACGTTTGACAACATTTTAGAGCTGGAAAGGACTTGCAATTCAAATCTAAGATATTTATTTCGCCAATGAGAACAAAAGCCTGGAGGTAGATGTCAGTTTCCCACTGCTGATCTTTCACAAAGATCAGGACCCAAGTTCCCTGACCACCCTCCAAGGCTGCAGTTGCTCCTTCTACTAGGTAGCAGCACTAATGATATTTCAAGGAAACAGCAAGTCCCTCTCTAAAATCGCCAGTACGAAAGTGCCCTGAAAAGGTGTAACTGTCACTCTGGAATTTGTCATCTAAGGTTTGAAGAGACTGAGCAGGGCAGACAGGAGTGTGCAGAAGTCCCAGAAAGGGACTTGGCAAAAACTCTCAGACCACTGTACTCTGACATCTCTCTGTGGACACCAAGTGAGGCTTACACTATGATAAGCCCATTGGCCAAGTGTGCACTCCGCCAGCAGGCTCTTGGCGCCAAGTTTTCTTCAACAAACAGGTCATTACTTTGCAAGATCTATAAACGGAAGAACTTTACCTTGCTCGTGTGTGTTTGTGTGTGTGTTTCTAACTCCATGAAAGAAACTTTCAGAGCTCACGGGGAGTTTCCTGGATGTAAATCAACGGCTCTGACCTTTGTTTCTGGATTCTGGTCTCATTATCACACTCCTCTGAAGACTTAATCTGATCATCTGCTTTTCTAATTTCCTTCTTAATGTCTGCAATTTTTCATCGATGCTGCTCTTGCTTTATTATATTTCTCTGCAGTAAGCAATGCATATAAACAGAGGGCCCGAACTTTCAGGCAGGTGTATGCTTGCTATTTGCTTACTGATAGGTCACTCAAAGTCCATGCAAATGAAGGTACCCTGCAGAACAGCAGGTGTGCAGTAGGAGAAACTTATAAATGACTCAGTTTGAATGATAGCTGCTGTGTTTCTCTACAATTTATTCTTGTAGCTCACCTAACGGGTCACACTATTGACATCTGAACTCTGCAAAAATGGTCACAGAAACTCACTGTTGTCTAAGGTTCCACTAGATGGGGCATGGATTTTTCAAGAACAGATGACCATCAAGTGTTCTGCTACTAGTGCTCTCAAAATAAAGTTTGTAAATTTTACTAATGGAAAAATTATTCAAGGAATATGGGGATATAAGGTATTTGGCCTCTGGCAATAAAAGCTTACAGAAGTATGAATGTCCTTCTATAGATTGTAAAAGTAAAATTAATGTGTATTAAAGTAGGAGGTATTTGGCATGTATTTAAATAAAAACCCTGGTGGGAGGTGCCATGGCTCACTTGGTTAATCCTCCGCCTGTGGCACTGGCATCCCATATGGGCGCTGGGTTCTAATCCTGGTTGCTCTTCTTCCAGTCCAGCTCTCTGCTGTGGCCCGGGAAGGCAGTGGAGGATGGCCCAAGTGCTTGGGCCCCTGCACCCGCATGGGAGACCAGGAGGAAGTGAAGGAAGGAAGACCTTTGTCTCTCTCTCTTTCTCTCACTGTCTAACTCTGCCTAACAAAAAATAAATAAACAAATAAATATCAGCTGATTTTTAAATGGCCTTACTTACCAGAAAATACTTGGCAAATCACTGTTCAGTACCCTCTGTTTTGTTTTTTCCTCAATTTAGATTTCTGATCTGTGAAATGTCTTTCTCATGGAGTACTTATGGACCAAATGTTTCTGTCCTCCCCTGTGGGGAGCAACTCGGACTAGACTAAGTTACTGGAATTAAGACTTATTCTATGCATCTGCTCTCCCACAATATGGTGCTGGGAGAGGAGAAAACAGCTTCTACACAGCTGCCTCCAGTTCAGCCAATAAACTGTAGGACTTGCTCCTGATTGGAGAGCAGCGTACTCGGCGTGTGGGCAGCCGAGTTGGGATTGGCGGAGGAGGACTATAAAGGAGGAGAGAGACGGCATGCACCAGGAACATCTAGGAGGAACATCTAAGGGGAACACCTGTGCAGCCCCCGAGAGAGCCGGCCGGCGGTGTGCCACTCCCCTGCGGAAGTGGGGAATGTGGCAGGGGGAACCGCCCTTCCACGGAGGTGGAAGGGATGGTAGCCAACCCGGGAAGGACTAGCAGCCAACCCGGGAAGGACTAGCAGCCAACCCGGGAAGAACCAGCAGCAAACCCGGGGAGGGCCGAGCAGACGAAAGAACAGCGCAGGGTTTAGTGTCGTTCCTCCACGAAGAGGAGGAGCGACATAATGGTGCCGTGACTCGGATATGAAGCCTAGGCAGGGTTTGGTGTCGTTCCTCCATGAAGAGGGGGAGTGACACTCCCCAAATTTGTAGGTGTGGGGTCAGCACTGTGGCAAAGTGGGTTAAGCCACCATCTGCAGCGTGGGCATCCCATATCACTCCACTTCCGAGCCAGCACCCTGCTAATGTGCCTGGGAAAGCAGAGAATAGTCCAGGTTTTGGGGCCCCTGAACCCACGTAGGAGACCCTGATGAAGCTCTTGGTTTCTAGCTTCAGTCTGGCCTTGCCCTGTACATTGTGGTCATTTGGGGGGTGAATCAGTGGAAGGAAGACTTTTCTCTCTCTGCCTCTCCCTCTCCCTCTCTGTAAGTCTGCCTTTCTAATAAATAAATAAATCTAAAAAAAAAAAAAAGTTCATAGGCACTAGTCCAACCCTCAGTGTGACAATCCTTGGGGGTAGGGTCTTTGAGATACAATGAGGCCATGAGAGGAGAGCCCTTGTAAGTGGAATTAGTGCATTTATAAGAGAGGTGGAAGAGGTGATCTCTCTCTTCACCACATAAAGACACGGCAAGAAGGAAGCTTTCCATCAAGCCAGGACCCCCTCAGCAAACACCAAGTCTGCTGGTGCCTAGCTATTGGACTCTCCAGCCTCCAGAACTATGAGAAATAAGTGGTTATTGTTAGAGCCACCCAAGCTCAGACAGTTAGGAAAGTTCTATGAACCCTGTGATGCCAAGGTGATTGCACAGAGGTAGTGGGTTGTTCTCATTCTGATGGACTGCAACCGTTGCTGCTAATTCCAAACACTGCAGACAGCTGCTAGATATCAGTCCCTGCCAGTCAGAAGTGACTCAGAAGATCTCAGTCCTGTTTAAGAATAGTCATTTCACAAAGCAGTTTAAACGCCACTTGGTGCACACATATCCCATATTAGGATGCCTGGGTTCCAGTCCTGGCCCTGCTTCTGATTCAGCTTCCTGCCAGTGCACATGCTCAGAGGCAGCCATGAGGACAGATCAAGTGGATGGGTCCCCAGCACCCACATGGGAGAGTGCCCCGTTCCTCGCTTTATCTTGGCCCAGCCCTGACTGCTGCGGGCATCTGGGGAGTGAACCAGAGATGGGAGAGCTCTGTCTCTATTTCTCTCCGTCTCTTTCTGTTTCTCTCTCTCTCTCTCTCCATATATATATATATGTGGGGAGCAGCCCGGACTGGACTGAGTTACTGGAATTAAGACTTATTCTATGCATCTGCTCTCCCACAATATGGCGCTGGGAGAGAAGTAAACAGCTTCCGCACAGCTGCCTCCAGTTCAGCTAATAAACTGTAGGACTTGCTCCTGATTGGAGGAGAGCAGCGTACTCGGCGTGTGGGCAGCCGAGTTGGGATTGGCGGAGGAGGACTATAAAGGAGGAGAGAGACGGCATGCCTGAGGAACATCTATGGGGAACATCTAAGGGAACCCGTGCAGCCCCCGAGAAGAGCCGGCCGGCGGTGTGCCGCTCCCCTGCGGAAGTGGGGAATGTGGCCAGGGGGAACTGCCCTTCCACGGAGGTGGAAGGGTCGGTAGCCAACCCGGGAAGAACCAGCAGCAAACCCGGGGAGGGCCGAGCAGACGAAAGAACAGCGCAGGGTCCTGTGTCGCTCCTCCACGAAGAGGGGGAGCGACATAATGGTGCCGTGACTCGGATAGGAAACCTAGGACGGATAGGAAATATATATATATACCTTTCAAATAAAAATGAAAATAAATTAAAATTGAAAAGATTGGGGCCAGCGCTGTGGCACAGCGGGTTAAAGCCCTAGCCTGAAACAGCAGCATCCCATGTGGGCGCCAGTTCTAGTCCCGGCTGCTCCTCTTCCAATCCAGCTCTCTGCTATGGCCTGGGATAGCAGTGTAAGATGGCCCAAGTCCTTGGGCCCCTGCACCCACATGGGAAGACCTAGAGGAACCTCCTGGCTCCTGGCTTCGGATCGGCGCAGCTCCGGCTATTGCAGCCATCTGGGGAGTGAACCAGCGGATGGAAGACCTCTCTCTTGGTCTCGACCTCTCTCTTGGTCTCAACCTCTCTCTGTAACTCTGTCTTTCAAATAACTAAAATAAATCTTTTAAAAAAAGATGTATTTGTACCTACTTGGATTTTTCTCTTTGTTCTCACTCTTATCTCACTACTTTTGTTAACATTCTCCTTACTTCTAAACATGCCTTTTTGGCTCTTTTCTATCAAATTATTGAAACTGGAATTTTTCAAATGAATTCAAATTGATACACACAGTTTATTTTTTTTTCTCCATATAAACAAACATATTTAATGAACAGACAAAGTAGCCTTATAAGGACTTTCCAGTTTGGTATTTACCACATCACAGTAACAAATTACTTCTTAGATTTAAAGTGAAGACCAAGATTAACTGAGCCCTGTTTAATAAGTGGAATATTAAAGGGAAAGGGAAATACAAATTTTTATCAAAAATCACATGTTCAGAGTCGGAATCAGGATCCTAGCCAGCAGAACTATACCATTTTTACTTTCATCATGACAGAGTGTCTTTAAGATAGTACCACAGGATATTGCCAAAGTGGTGCAAAACATGCTTCTTACCTCAAACAAGAGGTACATTTTTCAGTGTACGGATAAAGGACTTCTGGTTGATGCTTTGCACTTTTCAAAAATCATTCCAGGAACACAGAAGGCAACATGACTAACTATGAGAAATATTTGAAATGAATACAATTTGAAAAAAATGGGAATAAAAATGCAACTTAAAATTAACCTTACAAAATTATAGAATTGTCATCTTTCTTGAGTATAAAACATATACTTATATAAAAGCTGATATGCTGAATTAATATATTAAGATTTGTGAATATTTACCTGTGCTATATACAGTTACAGTTATCCCATTATTTGATACATTACAATTCTCCCAAGAATTCTAAATATATTACATATGTTACCACATAAATTCTCACAGCAAACTCCTTGTAAACAAGAGGAGGGCAGGTATTGTGGTCTCTAAACTTGAATCACAAATTCTTCCCAAGTTTTAAATAAGTATTTCCCAACAGACTTCCATCCAGAACATGATGCTTTTTGTAGAAGATTAAGTTACAATACTGAGTGAGGATTTTCTGAGTTTAACTCCTCAGATACTTTTCAGAAAGGAGATCAGCATCAGCTTCGAGGTGGAACCTAGCACTTTTTAAAGTCATCTAACAACACAGCTTCAGAATGTCTAGGGATTAAAATTTTAGAATACTTATAATATGAGTGAGTATATTTAGTCTTATTATGGATACACCCAGTTTAGATTAAGCTTACTCAACAGAGGGACTAGAGTTGTGGAAGAGCCAGTTAAGCTGCTACCTATGACACTGACATCCCATATGAGCACCGGTTCATGTCCTACCTGTCCCACTTCCAACCCAACTCACTGCTAACATGCCTGGAAGGCATGGAACATGGCCCAAGTACTTAGGCCCCTCACTTGGGAGACCCAGATGAAACTCCTGGCTTCAGCCTGGCTGGGCTGAGCTGTTGCAGCCATTTGGGAAATGAACCAGTAGAAAGAAGATCTCTCTCTCTCTCTCTCTCTCTCTGTAACCCTATCTTGCAAAAATATACATATTACTCCACAAAGCAACCCTTAATATCTCTGAACAACCAAACTCTCACCTCTCACCTCTTGAATTGGAGAATTAAAACCACTGCAGAGGCCGGCGCCGCGGCTCAGTAGGCTAATCCTCCGCCTTGCGGTGCCGGCACACCGGGTTCTAGTCCCGGCCGGGGCACCAGATTCTGTCCCGGTTGCCCCTCTTCCAGGCCAGCTCTCTGCTGTGGTCCGGGAGTGCAGTGGAGGATGGCCCAAGTGCTTGGGCCCTGCACCCCGTGGGAGACCAGGAGAAGCACCTGGCTCCTGGCTTTGGATCAGTGCGGTGCGCTGGCCGCAGTGCGTTGGCCGCGGTGGCCATTGGAAGGTGAACCAATGGCAAAAGGAAGACCTTTCTCTCTGTCTCTCTCACTGTCCACTCCGCCTGTCAAAAAAAAAAAAAAAAAAAAAACACTGCAGAGATTAACAACCTAAGGCAGCAGGTATTATGAGATCAGAAAGTAGCTTTCTAATTATTAACATCAAAAAAAAAAAGTTCCAATATAAAGAATTATCTCCAATTTCCACATCTGCTTGACAAAAATATCTTTGAGCCTGTTTTTTTTTTTTTTTTTTTTTTTTTTTTTTTTTTACTACATTCATGGGAGTTCATTTGTATGAAATTCTTGTTGATTGAAGAGAAGGCAAGAAGAGCGAGCATGTATTGCCTTGCCTCACCTGTGAACCGAGGCCTGCGGTCAATCTCCTAGCACCTGAGCAGAGGAGGAAAGGCTTTGGACTGGCCTACTTCTCTGGACTGGGAGTTCTTCCAAATAATTCTGTATTCTCCACTAAGTTCTTGAGTGGCTTCCACAGGGACAGGACTACTATAAGGCCAGTGAGGGGCATGGGGCACAATGTTTAAGGAGGCACTCACTCTCAGGGTCCAACAAATGCAGTGGTGACATGTGGCTTCTGAAGACTGCATTCCAAGGAGCCCTGTTTGCCTCATTGTAGTTCTGGTTCTAAGTCCAAACTATTCAAAGATTCGAGATCCAAGATTTGAGAGCAAAATCCTAAGAAGGGAAGGCTATGCAATTTGTCTATGCTACACCCAAAGGAAGTGGAAGAGTGAATTCAGAGGTGGTGCCTGTTGAAGAACGGGGAGAGACCTCGGGTATTATCAGTGAGGAAGAACATGTTTTAAAAAGCCATAATGGGAGGCTGGCGCTGAGGCATAGCGGGTGAAGCCACTGCCTGCAGTGCTGGCAACCTATATGGGCATTGGTTCGAGTTCTGGCTGTTCCACTTATGAGCCAGCTCTCTGCTATGGCGTGGGAAAGCAGAAGATGGCCCAAGCCCTTGGGCCCCTGCACCCGCACAGGAGACCCAGAAGAAGCTCCTGGCTTTGGATTGGCATAGCTCCCACCAGCAGATGGAAGACCTCTCTCTTGCTTAGTTGCTTTCACTCTGCTCTCTGCCTCTATCTCTCTGTAACTCTGCCTTTCAAATAAATAAATCCTTAAAAAAGCCATAATGTTTATAATTGAAAACATGTACACAAACTGTTTTAAAAGATGATACCAAGGGTATCATTTTCAGAACACGTGCCTTCCTCAACCCTAACCCATCTGCCCACAAGAACTGTGAAGCCATAATCAGCAAACTCCCTTGAGCTCCATTAGTTGTGCCTTTTCTGCACTTGCTTGCTCAAACTAGAGAACTTCCCCTTAGAGTCTATTTGTGTCTTGGTTTCTTCAGAGAAATACACCTCAAGGCTGAGTTACAATGCAAGGATTTTCTTAAGGACAATGACTGTGTGAGAGATGGAGAGCGAGCTAGCCAGAAAAGCTGGGAAAGTCTTGAGACTGCGATGCAGGTGTGACATGGAGTGAAGAAGAAAGAAAGGGAAGATTGGGTGGAAGCTGATGAGGCTGTCACACAGATGAAGGAGGGATTCAAAAGGCTAGATTGGGAGTCCTTGCACCCAAATTGGCCATCACAGTAGGCCCACATCTCCCTGGAATTTTTCTGTCTTAGCATTCTGCTATACTCCAACAGGGTGGTGGTTGTCCACAGGAAGCCGGGCCTTGGTGTCAGAGCTAAGCAACTGGAGCCCTTGATTCAATAATCTCCCTGTAGCTACAGGTCTGCTAGATGCTTTCTCATGGCCACCACAGCTCTGCCTATGGCGTTTTCATCTCTCACGTCCCTTACGCCTTATCATTGGGCCTGATGTCCTTGACTCTGGGATGGTTGTCTGTGATACAACTCCTGGATCATTACTCTTGGCATTTGTTTTAAGAATAATATAAAATCCCTAAACTAAGCACAGCAAACAAAACTGAGTAGCTCTCAGGCTCATGTCATTCAGCTGGGCTGTCTTCCTAGCACTCTTCATTTGCTGAAGGCTTTGTTATCTGCCTCTGGTCTTCCTTGCTCCAAGCCTTTCCAAGACACAAAGAAAAACCAATCTGGGCCTCTCAGCTCCTCAACTACTCCATCACCTGTGATCTTCTTCACCCCATCTTCTACATATCCTCAAAGGACTGCTCAAATATTAAATTCTCTGAGAGGCTGTCTTCGTCCATTTTCAGTTGTTACAACAAAACAGCTGAAGTCGGGTACTTTATAACACAAAGAAGTTTATTTAGCTCACCTTGCGGGGGGTCCAAGAGCATGGCGCCAGCATCGTCTCAGCTTCCTGGGCGAGGGCCTCATGCGGTTTCACATATGGTGGCAAACCAGAAGGGGGTGCAGGTGCACGTAACAGTGGGGCATGCGTTGTGGTGCAGCAGGGTAAACCGCCACCTTGGATGCCCACATCCCAGCTCCTCTGTTTCCAAGTCAGCCCCCTGCTAATGTGCATGGAAGGCAGCAGGTCATGGTCCAAGTCCTTGAGTCCCTGCCACGCATGTGGGAGACCCAGATGGAGTTCTGGGCTCCTGGCTTTGGCCTGGCCTGGCCTGGCCCAATCCCAGTTGTTGGGGGCATTGGGGAGTGAAGCAGCAGATGGGAGATAGCTCTCTCTCTCTCTCTCTCCCTCTCTCTCACTCCATATTTTAAATAAATAAATCTTTTTTTTAGAAAAAGAAATGTAACATAGAGAAGCATGCAATTGCTATAACTAACCATCATTCCAAAGAATTACTTGGAATTCCAATCGAGACAGCTCTGACTTGTAGACTTGGGGGTGACTCACAGAATTACTAATCATCTAACTCAACAATAGCAGACCTCAGTGTTCCAGCCTTTTGCACAGTGTGACTCTGACTCAACACTGGTAAATTTATTTATTGTATGCCAGGCCAATTTAAATAAGTTTGTGATAGCAATTTTGCTGAAATTCAAACTAACATAAAGCCAACGGGCGAAAACTTGTCATCATCTTTACCTACTGAGCAAAAACCAAGGCCAAGTCTAGATTTTTCCATAGTGCTCAGTACATTGATGGAACCCCACAAAGTCAAACAATAAACATCATCTGAATTAGCTCACGTGAGGAATACTGTTCACATATACCACATTGCACCAAAAAGCAAGGCACTTTGGTCTTTATCTCTAAATTGGTAAATACTGGCTTAATCTCTATGATGTACAGAATACTTTACTGTTAAACTGAGGTTGGGAGCAGGAAATATTTGTGGTTTTTCATTATACCTTTCAAATATTCTTATCATGAATATTCTTGTCAGAATAACATGGTTTTTTTTTTTTAAAATCATTGTTTAACTTGTGAGTAGCTTCCTTGTATAAAAAGGAAATATATTCTTATAAGTGATCTAACAGAAACCTGTTGCTTCATTATCTTTCTCCTAGAAAAAAATGCTTTTTCCTTTGGGGAAAGATATATTCTTCCTATTCTGAAGAAGTTCATTCACTCACGCCATTTCCTAGCTGGAGAATCCTGATTTTAACTATCTGACCACATCAAATATCTGACCACATCAAAGGTGAATTTACTAAATGGTGCCCTGCTGGCTATTTCTCCAATTAGTGAGGACAGCAGAGACTGCTCTAGATATAGGAAAGTCAAGAGATTCTTGGAAACGTGGCTGGAAGGCTTCTGCAAGATCTCACATTTACAGAAGCCCGCATGTGCCCTGCTGCTGCCAGGGAAAGACACACATGAGTTGTACCTGTCTTTCACCTTCAGGTCCTGACAGGAACGCATCTCCCAGGAGGCCCAGAGTGCGGCTGGCAGGTATCTGGGAAGGTAGTTCCCGAGAGTCTTGCCACCTCCATACAAGGCTGCATACATAGGGAAGGGAGGCAATGATGCTAAGTTGCCAATAGGTAATGTGTAGGTAGAAGGTAGGGCTGGGGTTTCAGCCAAAGACTTTAAGCTATGATTTAAGAGCTCATCTTAAAATTATTGCAGTGAATGATGGCTATTACATCATCTACTCTCTGTTATGCATTTCAACTATTTTGCTCTTTAATCCTCTACTGTTTTTCCTTGTCCACTTGGATAGAAAGATCAAATTTCAATTATTTAACAGATACAAACTGTAAGTTAAATTACAGTTTTGTATAGTTGCACAGACTGTGGATTATATAGGTTCTTACAATGGATTCATACCTTCAAACAAGTAACAGCTAATCAACACTGCCTTACTGTATCTTTTATGTCTTTAGTCTCACATGAACTAGTATTTATCCTCCCTCCAGAAAAGAGTAAAGAGAAATAAAGGTGTCTTAAAATTTAAAAAAAAATGAATAAAATAATTCCCACCAGCTACCATGAGCCAGCACCCACTAGCAGCTTTCTTTTTATTCCATTCAGTTCTCACCATACTCTGTGATTTTTGTTCTTGAAATAAATAAAATCCAAACTACTACAGCAGGGATTAAAAATATAAAGACCCAATAGTAGAGAGAGCAAACATAAAATACTCAGATTCCAGAAAATATCCCAGGGCCTCCTAAAACCTGTGTCTGAGCGTGGGAGCGCCCCACGTGGAAAGGTGACAGCATCGGCGCAGGAGGCATCTTGAACTCTACGGGGGTCTCTGAAATGTTTGTGGAGAATAAATATCACGAAAGCTATTCAGGGATGTGAAAAATTACTTTCTAATTTTTATTTATTTATTTCCATTTTATTTGAAAGGCAGAGAGACAGACAGGGAGACAGTCAGATCTTTCATTCTCTGATTTATTTCTCAAATACCTGCGACAGCCTGAACTAGGCCAGGCTGAAGCCTGGAAACTGGAGCTCAATCTGGGTCTCCCCCATGAGTGGCAGGGAGACAAGTACTGGAGCCATCACCTGTGGTCTCCCAAGAAGCTGAATCGGAAGAGGAGCCAGGATCAGAACCCAGGCACTTCGACATGGGTCGCAGTTGCCCCAAGTAGTGGCTAAGCTGCTGTATCACAGCCTGCCCTGGATACCAAAAATTTTTGCATCAAAATAAACTTATCAATTCCATGTTTGAAGTGCCTTCCTATTAAGGAAAGTCCATATGTGCAATGATAGGAAGAGGAACTTTCTCATTTATTATTAATAAAATATAATATTTGGAAGAACATGTAAAATTCAGGCAGTTAACCTGAAAAAAAATAAAATGATATGAGGTCAGCATTGTGGTACGGTAGGTTAAGCTACTACTTGCTAGACCAGCTGGTTCGAATCCTGGCTCCTCTGCTTCCAATCTTGCTAATGTACCTGGGAAAGTAGCAGAATATGTCCCAAGTGCTTGGACCCCTATCAGTCACATGGAGACCTGGAGAGAGTTCCTGGATCCTGGCTTTGGGCTGGCCCAGCACTGGTCATTAGAACCACTTGGAAATTAAATCAGTAGATAGAAAAAGCTCTTTCTCTTTCTCTCTCTCTCTGTCACTCTGCCTTTTAAAATAAACAAACAAAACCATTATAAGCAAAAAAAAAAAAAAAAAAAAGACACGTACTAAAGGTTAAGAACCTCTAGGATTTTTGTCCTAACTCTTCTCTTGATGATCAAGGTCAAACATTTAATTAAATTTAACTCCACAAACATGATCTGAGAACTTACTAGATTCAAGCATTGTTCTGAAAGTCACTCTCTGTAGGATGCAAAGACAGTCCTTGCCTCCAAGTGTCCCCAGGAAAATACAATCACTAGAACTTAGGGCAGTTGATGAGTGACTGAAACAAGTCAAGGGGAGGGAATGGTATAGCTGGTATAGCTGGAAATTGAGTGTGAGGCGTGCCAAGGCCCAGGGGCCAGGCTGAACAATGTGAAGAGGTTGAAGAACTTGCTAGAATTAGATTAGAAACAGCTGCCACAAACTCAGGTGCCTACAGGAATGGAAATGAGGACTGCAGCCCAGGTGGAGGGCGGAGCCCACAAAAGACAGCACCAGCCATGCAGAGACTCCTGTGAGAACGCCAGCCCCGTGTCTCCAGAGCGTCCACCTTCCAATTGTTCCAAAAGGGGAAATCCACATTCCAAGGGAAAACTCAGGTTTTTAAACATTAGCATCCGTAATATGAAGAAAAAAGCCTTGTAGATAACAAATAAAACACACCTATAGCCCATCTATGGCCCAACAGCCTTCCATTTGCAATCTCAGGTCCTCAAAGGTTCTGCCTAACTCAGGAATTCTACATTCAGGATGAACCCATTCTCACTGTACGATACATTCCTCCTTTTAGCTTGGGCATAGGAATACCTCATGTCTCAGTGAAGACCACACACCAGAGAATTTATTTAAAAAATAAAATAAGCTCTTGCTCAGCTCACAGTTCTGGAGGCTGGAGGTCCAAGTTCAAGGGGCTGCATGTGGTGAAGGCCTTCTTGCTGCAGAGTTCTGAGCCGGCACAAGCCATCACCCCGGAGAGAGGGGTGTGTGCAAGAGACAGAACCACACTAGCTTTTCAAACAGACCACGATCAAAACAACTCGGTAACCCAATTGCTCCACGCAGGGCCCTAATCACACCATACAGGTGCCACCTGGTCCCACCTCTTGCTACTTCACCACGGGGATTAGCTTCAATGACAGTCTTGCGGGAAACATTCAAAGCAGAGTCCTTCTGAAATTTTCTCCCTATAAATTATGCTTGGAGTCCCTTCCCAAGTCATTGTAGAGCTTTCCTTCGCAGGACACCTAGAGAGAAAGGGGATTTCCAGGAGAGAATGGGAAGAAGATATGCAGAAATGCAAATATTACAGGCTCTGACATATCTGTGCCAGGGACTGAAAAACCACTGATTTTATTCTTACTACCTTGGAAGAGAAAAATGAAACATTTTTATAGTAGAGTCAATGTTGATTTTTCTAGAATGATAATTACTAGCTACCTCAGAAATATAAAATACTCAATGCATATAATTATTTAAATCCAGTCTACTGTAATATAAAGTTTTTCCTTATATTTGTAGGTTTCCCTTCTTAACTCAAAATTTCTTGTCAACGAATAATCACTCCAAAACAGTATAAGTCTCATCCTTTAAAATAAAAGGAAAAAGAATAGTAACAACGGGGTACATGCCAAGAAGTAAAATAAATCCCTAAACCATAGCTTTCATGCTACCTTGTTTTACAAGCAGTTAAAAGGTGGGTTGAGGGGGCCAGTACTGTGGCACAGTGGGTTAAAGCCCCGGCCTACAGCGCCGACATCCCATAGGGGAGCCAGTTCGAGTCCCAGCTGCTCCTCTTCTGATCCAGCTTTCTGCTATGGCCTGGGAAAGCAGTAGAAGGTGGCCTAAGTGCTTGGGCCCCTGCACCTGCATGGGAGACCTGGAAAAAAGCTCCTGGCTTTGGATCAGCTCAGCTCTGGCTGCCCCAGCCATTTGGGGAGTGAACCCATGGGTGGAAGATCGCTCTGTAACTCTTTCAAAAAAATAAAATAAATCTTAAAAAAAAAAAAAACTGGGTTGAATGCTGCTCCAATGAAAAATCTTGGACTTTTGTCAAGAAATTTGACAAAGGAAGCAAGTAATAACTTAGAGCATTACATAAAGCAAGCTTCCGCAGTCCATCAAGCAGGCCAATGATAATTTTGATTTCTCCTTGTTTATATTACTGATCACCAAGGTCTCACATGTGTGTTCTGCCACCAAGGGAAGTCACCTTTATCTGACAGTTTCAGGGTTGGTAAGGGTTCCTCGGGAGACTCACATTCAATGGTGTCATTATGTACTCTTAGAAAACCCTTCCAACTAGAACTTGGATAGATATTTGAGTCGAGCTTTTCCCAACAGCAATGCCTTTTCAATAACTCGGTAGGATACCTAATGGAATATAATGAAAAAGATCACCAATAAAATCAACAATTTCAGAAAAAGACAAAAAAAAAAAACCCATCTGACAATGTTCTCTTTGCTTATGAGTTATGGTTTCACAGAACAAACACTGGAGAGTGTAGGTCAGCACACATACTTTCAGCTTCAGAACAAAGAATCAACTTCTAAAAAGGTAAAAATGAAAATGCAGGCTGCTGTGCTGCGAGGGAGCTGAGAGTTATAAAGGCCCTGTGAACAATATTGAGTTTGTGGAGGCACAATCACATCACGAGCGATTTACCTTCACTCTGCAAACTCAATCTAGGGCAATAACAGTCTATTACAAACAGAGCAGTACAACATCAAAGGAATGTTGAAAAGAACGAGACAGAACCCTTACATCAACACAACTGAGTTATCTTCCCCCAAAGGAAGCGCCATGGGAGTTCGTAGCAGGGATTTTTCAAGAGGTATTACTAATTTACCATAACTTATATTTAATACGGTTGCAAAATGGAGTTTGTAATCTCTCTCTGCTTTTTAGAACACAGAGCAATAAATTAAACGAGAAACAATCCCTAAGGAGCAAGAGATTTCGAGGGAAAAAATGACAATAGTTTCAATCCTTGGGGGTAACACTTTCAAATTCTTCGGCCACAGGCTTCAGTAGGTCTCTTCAAGGGGAAGCTAGAAGAAGTTGGTAAAAATGACATCAATCAGTGTGAGGATCCTGTTAAAAACAGCAATATTTATCATAACATTTTAGGAAAATAGTGAGGAAAAACCTCTTGGCACTTCCTGTCACAAAGTAAGCAGTTTTATTCTGCCTTTTTATGATGCAAATGGACACGTACGTACGAGATAGGGTTTCATATCCAGGCCATGTCAGACATGGTAGTAGAATTAATTGTGGAATAGTATTATTCCTTGTTGGCAGGTCTTAGACATTTTCTCCACATTTCACTATTTTCCTACACACTCTTATTTTTTAATTTACAAAACAGTATGCTTAGTTTAAGTGTTGAGATATTATCTATATTATTCATATAAAATATATTACTTTTCAACACACGCAGATAGCAAAGACTGTGTGGATATAAATTTTAGTCTAAATTCATACACTAGTGTTTTCCCTGAAAATAAATGGAACTATTGAGTATGATCAAAACTTTCATTATCTATTCATATCTGATATTTGCACACATAAAACAAAGTAATAAGTTTCTGTAATACTTCCAGAAACTGCTCTTTCAAATCTTTTAAAAATTATACCTGTTTTGGCCTTTTGTATAGCACTTTTTTCTGACTTAGCTATCCTGATAATCTAGAACTAACTATGTATGCAAAAAGATTTTAAACCGTAGATAAATTGTATCTATGTGGCTTTTCCATACATGAATTTCCTGCATTAGTAAAGAAAACACACCCACAACAGGTGCATGAAACTGCCTCTCACACATGGCATATGGGGAAGGTACTAAGGTTTGTCCCTTTTGATATAGAATGGTTTTATTGGTGTCATACTGTAAGAGTTTACAATAAATCAGATCATATAGGGATTTATACTTATGAATCTGGTGTTAGAAAATATTTAATTCATGTTTATAATGCTTTTAATTTTATAGCCACCTTCCAACATTTTTTACAATTGGCCTTTATGTCAAGACTATTTCATTTACAATTGCCCATGTCCAGACAACTTTCTCCAGACATTTGAATTGTATTGCTGTTTTTTTGTTTTTGAAGCATTTTCTTTTTGAGTTCATCCCAACTTCTTCAGAGTAAAATCATGAGTTTAAAAGCAGTATCAATATTCTGATTTGTATTTGCAATACTCTTTTCTGGGCAGTAGAAAACTACTTTCATCAGTTATACACTCTTGGTGAGCTTCTCTGCAGTTCCTTTATTTGAAACAATTGCTTTGAGTGTGATAGAATTTTTACACTGAATTGCATGGCGATTAGAACATCAGTTTTTGCTATGTGTTGATAGATTTATGTTTTTTAGGACCGGTGCTGTGGCGCAGCGGGTTAAAGCCCTGACCTGCAGTGCTGGCATCCCATATGGGCACCAGTTCAAGTCCTGGCTGCTCCACTTCCAATCAGGCTTCCTGTTAGTGTGCCTGGGAAAGCAGCATAGAATGGCCCAAGTTCTAGGGCCCCTGCACCCACGTGAGAGACCTGGAAGAATCTCCTGGCTCCTGGCTTTGGATGGCTCAGCTCTGGCAGTTGCAGCCATTTGGGGAGTGAACCACTGGATAGAAGACCTTTCGCTCTCTGTCTCTACTTCTCCCTGTAACTCTCTCAAATAAATAAATCTTTTTAAAAAATGCTTATTTATAGCTGTCTGCACATTAATGTTTATTGCAGCTCAATTCACAATAGCTAAGACCTGGAACCAACCCAAATGCCCATCAACAGTAGACTGGATAAAGAAATTATGGGACATGTACTCTATAGAATACTATACAGCAGTCAAAAACAACGAAATCCAGTCATTTGCAACAAGATGGAGGAATCTGGAAAACATTATGCTGAGTGAATTAAGCCAGTCCCAAAGGGACAAATATCGTATGTTCTCCCTGATCAGCGACAACTAACTGAGCACCAAAGGGGAAACCTGTTGAAGTGAAATGGACACTATGAGAAACAGTGACCTGATCAGCTCTTGTCCTGACTGTTGATGTACAATGTAATACTTTATCCATTTTAATATTTTCTCTTTGTTTTGTTCTAGTACTATTGGTTGAATTCTGTGATTAACACACAATTATTCTTAGGTGTTTAAATTTTAACTGAAAAATGATCCCTGTTAAATATAAGAGTGGGAATAAGAGAGGGAGGAGATGTACAATTTGGGACATGCTCAATCGGACTTGCCCCAAATGGTGTGGAGTCAGAATCATGCCAGGGGATCCCTATACAATCCCATCAAGGTGGCTTGTACCAATGCCATCTCACTAGTCCAAGTGATCAATTTCAGTTCACAATTGATCACACTGATAAGTCTAAGAGTCAAAGGGATCACACAAACAAGTCTAGTGTCTGCTAATACTAGCTGATAGAATCAAAAAGGGAGAGAACAATCCATCATGGGAAGCGGGATACACAGTAAACTCATAGAATGGCAGATGTCCTAAATAGCACTCTAGCCTCAGAATCAGCCCTTAAGGCATTCGGATATGGCTGAAGAGCCCATGAGAGTATTTTAGGCATGGAAAGCCAAGACACCCTGGAGAGAAAAAAAAAAAAAAAAGGAAGACCTAAATGGAAGATCTCTGCAAGTGAGATCCCAGTGGAAAGAAAGGGGCCATCAAAGAAGGAGGTACCTTTCTCTGAAGGGAGGAGAGAACTTCCACTTTGACTACGACCCTGTCAGAATAAGATCGAAGTCGGCGAACTCAAAAGGCTTCCATAACCTTGGCAACTCATGACTAGAGCCTAGGGAGATTACTGACGCCATAAACAAGAGTGTCAAATTGTTAAGTCAACAACAGGAGTCACTGTGTACTTACTTCTCATGTGGGATCTGTCCTTAGTGTGTTGTCCAATGTTAAGTAATGCTATAACTAGTACTGAAACAGTATTTTTTACTTTGTGTTTCTGTGTGGGTGCAAACTGATGAAAGCTTTACTTAATATATGTTGAACTGATCTTCTGTATATAAAGATAATTGAAAATGAATCTTGATGTGAATGGAATGGGAGAGGGAGCGGGAGATGGGAGGGGTGTGAGTGGGAGGGAAATTATGGGGGGGGAAGCCATTGTAATCCATTAACTGTACTTTGAAAATTTATATTTACTAAATAAAAAATTTAAAAAAAAGAAAATGGATCATAAAAAATGCTTATTTATAATTGTCACATCCAGTTCAATTGAACCACAACTCGGAATTCTAATCTTGTTTCCTATCCCTTCAACCTACGTTAATTCTATTGCTAATATCTATTCAACAATAAGCTTCATTTCATTTGAAGTTCTAATCTCATCCAAAGAGCCTCACTAATGTTTGCTCATTGCCTGGTGTTGACATAGCACTTAAAAACAGATATTCTGGAGTAAAACCTGAATTTGAATTTCTAATCAACTAGTTAATAACTGTATTACTATAGCCATTTTTCTTCTATAAAACAGATATATTTATTGTTATAATGATTGATTGAAGGATTAAATTAGTCATAGGTATAAGATGAGATACTCCTTATAAAATATCTAGCACTGTGGCACATGGTATACACTTAAGAAATGTTAGCTATTTTTATTGGGAAACTTTGTTCAGAAATATTCTGATGCCTTTCAATCCGTTTCACAGCACTATAAAATTTTACCCACTCGTAGAAGCCACTGACTGTGATAAAACAAAATGAAGAATGTTGACTCTTGTGCAGAGATTATAGAACCAACACCTGCTGCCTAACAGTAGTGGGACTCATACCAAATATCAATGAATGAGTAACCACCCTAAACAGCTATCACAATCATAAGGCAGTTGGTTCTGTAGTCTAGACCTGTGTAAGAATTGAACTTAGTCACCTGCTGATTGTAAGAGCCATTCAGAGGAATGATATAAAATCTAATGTTAGTGATTATCTGTTATTATATGGCATCATGTGTATATTGCCTTCCAAGGTCTTGCCTGAAGGGCGTTTTAGCAGTGATACAGTTGCTTTAGTAATAGGGATTGTATTAGTTGGGCTTTGCCAGAGAAACAGACCAACAGGATGGATGGATAGATTTGACAGGAAGAAAGCAAAGAAAGGAAAGGAAGAAAGGGAGGAGGAAGAAGGGAAGAGGTTAGAAAGAGAATGGTATTTAGCATAAAGAATTGACTCACACAATTATGGAGGCAGAGAAGTCGCATGATTTGCTGTGTGCCACTTGGAACCCCAGGAAAACTTGTGATAATTTCAAAGCATGAGAACCAGAAGCACTGACAGCTGTAGATCAAGTGTCCCAGGAAAAGCGGGTGGGCAGAGAGCAAAGCCAACCTTCCCCCATGCTTTATATAGGCCCACAGCAGATTGCTGGAACCTTGTTGCTATGTCCTCTGCAAGGAGGCCAACGCTATGACTGCACGTGGTGGGAGGGGACAGGGGAACCAATGCTGGGTCCTCACAAGGCAAAGGAGATGAAATGGCTGAAGAGCCTGGCTAGCTCCCTCCACCTGTCTTAGGAGAGTATTAATCCCATTCATGAGGACAGAGCTCTCCAGGACTAATCACCTCCCCAAAGTCCCATCTTCTAAAACTATCACCTTGATGATAAGATTTCAACATAGGAATTTTGAAGGGACACATACATGCAAACCATTGTACCACCTTTGGAAAATATTCTCACCAGAATTTATGATGGCTGTGTAATATATTTGATCAGTCATAATGTCTTTAGGGGAAGCAGTCCAGCATCAAAGTGCATTTTAAATTGTTATTAAAGAAAAAGAAGCTACTCCTGTCTCAAAGATTTTTTAAAATTTTATGTATTTGAGAAGCAGGAGTGGGGGTGGGGGGGGAGAGTGCTCCCATCTACTGCTCACTTCCCAAATGCCCATAATGGCTGGGGCAGAGCCAGGGTTCAGGAAAATAATATAGGTTCTCATGTGGGTGGTAGGAAACCAAGTAAACTGAGCCATCGCCACTGCCTCACAGAGTCTCCTTTGGCAGGAAATTAGATGCAGGAGCCAGAGTTGGT